AAGGACGCTACTAGGGGCGCTCCTGGCCTTACTACTAGGAACAAGGATGCTACGAACGTAACAAAGGGCGTCGCCGACGGCGGAACTGCAACTGAGGCTCGCTGGAGAGCTGGCCCGGCGGATCTGACCTGGGTTCAAGCCGGGCAAAACCAGAGTTTTGTAGATGTCTTGCTCAGTACGTCCAAAAGTTGAACTGGGACTCCCAGTTAAGAAGGAAGTTTGCTTGGATTCCACAACACAAAGTCTTGAAAGAACTGTGTCGTGTGTGTCTATTGATTCTAAGGGGTGTCTATCCGGAGTCCAGTCTTTCGGTCCCTGGAGCTAAAGGGACGGATGCGCATCCGCCCCCACCGGTGTCGCCGGACCAAGCACCCAACGCCAACTTCACAGCCTCGTTGCAGACCTCGAAATCGAGAGGATCACCCGAAAGCGACGTCATATGTGTGGAACATGTTCACCTCACCCTGCTGTGATACAGGGCACTATACTGTAATTAATGTCTTGGGTTCACCTGATAAGCCTTGAAGCTGAAAAAAGGGAGGGAAAACCATGGAAAACCCATGTTAAATGATGACATAAATGTCCGAACTTTCTGGGTGCCTGGTCTGTGTTGTGCAGATTGATCTTCCACCACTTTCCACCACTTTGGGGTGACCCGGTCAAGCAGATCCCTGCTCATTGGGATCCCGAATGCGCTTCGTCCAGATGTGTCACTTCCAGCTCAGCTCGGTGATGTGAACTGGTTTACGCCGTCCAACCACATGAGAACCACGGCGAACATCGCCAGAAGCAGCTCGGGTCGGAGCCTAAAAATCTCACTTATACTGCATAAAATGAAATCCAGGATTCTCTCTGTATGCGAGTGTGTATACTCTAGCTGCTGCGTTTGGGCCTGATATATCATCGACATCCATATCTGGAAGGCAAGAGGAGGTGCTTCAAAACATTGCAAATTCATAGCGAGCTCTGTTCAAATGTGTTGGACATTGTCAAATTAGCGATATGGGTGCCACCAAATACAGATACATTCGATCTTGCAGTTAGGTGTCAATGATCATGCGCTACTGTTAGTTGCTGGACAAAACTCCTGCATCAAATCGAATGGCTTATCCCAGGCATTACAGTCCCATCGCTCAAGCTAAGATTTAAATCTGGAACCATCAACAATCACTCCGTGGCAAACTGGCAAAAGAAAGAAAGACTGATTTCCACTTACACAAGGCATTGGAAAATGATCCTGTTTCGCAATAGATTTAGGGGTTTATATAATTGATTCACGTTCCATATCCTTCCATGGGGTGAGCACAGGTCGCCGATCAGAACGCTCCTAAATCCTCCTGAAATCCGCCTGAAGGTCTCCTCTAGATGGTCGAGGGAACCCCCCTCTGACGTCTTATCATCTGAATCTCGTCGCCTCAAAGAAGGCAGCGTTGTCGCGCAGAAGTGCCTGAGAAGAGATTGAGATTGAGCAGAGTTTGTGCGTTTTTTGGGCGAAAACAAAAGACCATCCTTTGGTTCCAACCGTTGGTTCTGCGCCGACTAGCCCGCGGGAAAAGGTTGGAGTTGACCGCCCTGCCCCAACAAATTGCCCCACTCTTCTCCCCACTCTTTGAATCCCCGCCTGCAACGCTTCGATATCGATCTTGGGATCCTCTTCCGCCTCGTCAGCTTCCTCGGTTTCGCCTTTGGGATGGTAAGACTCCGGCGTCGCCGCCGCTGCAGCCCGTTCGAAGGCTTCAGCTGCGGCAGCATGCGCCTGTTGCCCGGGCGTCAGCTCAGGCGCCGGTTCTGGAGTGGCCAGGGAGCCCCAGCCCTGCAAGGTGCCAGCATCCGAGTTCACCTGGGAGCGCACTGGGCTTCTGAACTGGGGAGAACTTGGTGAGAGAGACAAGTTCTTGGACCTGCCTCAATTCAGATTCGGAGACAGGGAGGCAAACCCACAGAGCTGGTGGAATGATACCGAGTCATGTCCAAAGAACCCGAGTCATGAGCATGCGGGGACGGAAACGACTTACTACAACTCGTCAAGGATGTGAGCCTGTAAGAGAATGTTCTTGGTCTAACTTGTGTGGGACATCATCGTACTCTTTTGAGGGTGTTGGGGGGCGTTGACCTCAGCGTACCAGTCGCAGAACCAACTCTTTCAATTTGGGATGCCCGTGGCCCGCCACCGAGCGAACAAGTTTCACCTCCTTTCGATGCCCTCGCGATGCCCTGGCGCCTGCCACCCTCGGCTTGGCCAATCAGAGGTGCCACCGGCCATGGGAATCAGGGTCCACGGATCAGACTGTGAATGGTGGACTGACCCGGAGGGTCTGCAGATTCTGTCTGGCAGATCCTCATCCTGTTGGTTTTTGGATGTGAACTGAACACAACTTGGTCTTGTGAAGAAGAGCTGTTCACCTGCCTTTCCTCCAGATCGTCTCGGATTTCTGATCTTTAAGCATCATCCTGTCCATTCTTTGTTTGCAGTCCAAATACTCAGCTGAACAAGGCTGAACAGTCCATTTTCAGCTCTAAGCGTAAGTTGGCACAGCTGACAAGGTCGGCATGGTGCAATAGTTCCACCTCCTCAGTCAATTGTTGGCAAAAACTTTGGTATATATCCCATTACCCGTGGATGATGATGGTTAGTAAAGGCCTTTCTCAAAACAGTGACCATTGATCCTCTTTTACTGACTGTTGTTGGTGATGGGACATTCTAGCAATACCGTGGCAGATGAAGATTAGATTCTTTGGATCAACACAAAATTAGTGAATTGCCATTCTGTGTTGATCCAAAGAATCTCATCTTCAACTGCCACGGTATTGCTAGGGTGAGTCCCATTTGGAAAAGCGCCGGCAAAAGCAGGCTTAGAGTCTCGCGGCAAAAGCTGAAACCTTGTGGGCTGGCATGCTGAAGTACCATCAGCTAATCTCGCACCCGCAGTATGCCTTTTCATTCGAGGTCCCACATCATTGTCCTAACTTCCATGTAGTCCGGGGCTGGTTGAAAAGCTTTGTAGTCCGGCGCATGCCCCCTTCCCTATCCTGAATCTCTCATAGACCGGTCCCGCCTCTGTGACCCTCCCCTCCCATCGAAACCTTTTGCACTCGACAGGCGGCTCGGCTCCCTTTGGCGCTTTTTTTTTGAGCGCATGGCCGTGAGTGTCTCCAGTCAGCTTCCACTCGAAACGCAGTCAGCTTTGGCCACACGAAACTGCAGTCTGAGTGCCATCTCACTTTCTCTGATCGATTGCTGCTAACGAGTGGCTTGCAGCTGCAGTTGAAAACCAGTGCCGGGTGGAGACCGGTGGAGATCGGACCTACGTTTTGGAGGAATCCAGGATTTCCACGCATCCAAGGAGGATTTCTGAGCATTTCAAGACTAGTCATGACTGTGACTCTTCAATGAGAAAGCACAGATCACTTGGCTTCCACGTCACAGCTTACCTTCGACGCCCCTCCGCTTTCTGTAGAAAGATCGTCGATTCGCTGAAACAGAGGAGTCATACTCATACTGACTGAAGAGAAGGCCATGTAGTTCCCATAACGTAGACTGTTGATTCATAAACCCCCCCACCAGAATGGTTTTACATCTTGGGGCCTGGTGTGATTTTGTCAATCAACCGTCTACTTCCCTGGATGAACTTTCCCATCCACTTTGGATGATCTCCGCACGAACATCCGCGCCGGTCCGGGTTGGGCCAGCGCCACGAGCCGGTCCAGCAGCGGCTGATAGATCTCACGGTGGAACTCCGCTGAGCACCTGAGCGGAACACGTTCGTTCAAACGCGTTTCCCCCCGGAGACCGGTGTGCCGTCTGCAGAGTCCGAGGACGGTCACAGAGAGTGGCATGGCACCATGATGATGGATGGGGCAACCATGGAGTGGCATTAAGGAGTTCCAAAGGGCCAATAGAGAGTAAAACTGGGCAACTTGTAGTTCCCTTCCCTTCTCTATATATTGCATAGTGGCAACTTGGATGCACCGGAACTGCTGTTGTCCTGCTGCGCTGATTCTTTTAGATGGAAAGCTATCGAGTAGTTGATATTCATGACCCCGCAGTAAGTGGCATGCAACTCCCTGCTTTCGGAGCTTAGAGGCTTAGACTTTGCGTCCGATTCACTGTGTGCAATGCCGAGCAACTTCGACCCCAGCTCCTCCAGAGAGTTCGGCGACTTCGCCTGGAGAGTGGGGGCGCAAGCGGGGGCGCAAAAACCATTCAAGGCTATGAGTCTATGAGGTTGGAGGCCATCGCTCTTAGGTTGGAAGCCATCACACAAGCCCCCTCCCCGCCACCTGAGCTAGGGGAGCCCCCCTTCTGCAAGTAAAAATGCAATCACTAGTAGGTTGGAAGCCGAAAGGTACAAGATCTCGTCGCGTGCTCCAACAGTAAGGGGTGCGGGTCATGTCGACGGTATGTTGTGTCCAAGTAAATACGAGTTCTCCTGTTCGGAAAAAAGAAATATGTTGGTGACCAAGCCATTTGAGGAATCCTCTCAGTTCACAGACGTGTTCTCTGCGGTGAAATCACCCCAATCGCGGGAGTCACGTTGTTCACGTTTGGGACTACTCTATGAAACCAATCCTGAACTGTGTGACTGTGTGAACTACCTATCTTTGAGCAAACATATTGTCATGATGAGCTTCTCACGTCTGTGAAAACTCGCCCGTCTCAACGCCTTCTCATCCTGTAGCGGAGGCATCCTGGAAATTTGAGAGACTGAGCTCAGAGCTACAGGGGAAACACATTGTTTGTACATGAGAATCAGGAACCCCCGTTCATGAGGGCTGACACGCTGCACGTATACCTCTCGAAATCCAACAATTGGAACTTGGCTCTCAGGAGGGGAGTTTGATTGAATCGAGAGGTCGATTTTGGAGGACCTTTCGGACCCACCGGTTTTTTCGACCCAAACACACGACCCACCGACCCTTGAGCTCCCGGATCTCTTCATCAACAGACCTCCCCAGACCTCCGGTGACCGCCCCAGACCGTCCCCGTCCGTGCAGCCCGAGCGCGAGCGCGACAACGGCTTCCGTCACAAAGCCCACAGCGCGACAACGCCGCTCCGAGCGCGTCGGGAATGGCACCAAAGCCATATAGAATCTTATAGAAATGTCCATTTTGGACAGGGAGTCTCAAAAAAAAAAGAACACCTTTGGGGGATTGAAAGACCGTGCCTGTGTTTTTCCATGAAGTTGATTTGACTTTGCCCAGGAAAGCGAGCTGGAGCGGCTCGCAACAGTCCCGGCCTCTGAGCTTCTCCGGACATCCTTCGAGACGTCTGCTGGCACTCTGAACCTAATCCTTCCACAGAAGGACGTACAGCCGCAGCAACTAAAATCGATTTAACAGCTAATTACAGCCTACAGCCTGAAGTTGAAACTATATTGATTGACTGATTATATCTGATTACTGTAGATTGTAGATTGTACTTGTACCCCAATCAGCATGCAGCATGCACAGGTACGATGAAGTCACTGAGCTTGAACCGGACTGATGAGGTGGTCATTCTAAAGAGATGGTTTTCAGGCGTGATCCACAAGAAGAAGCTTCGGTCGGACCATCCGGTGAAACCGGTGTTTGGAGCTTCGTGTTCATCGGGATTGAGTCTCGAGCTTCGGTGTCCGGTGGAATTCATCTCGAAGCTTGTGAACGCATCACTTGGAAGAGGTATGAGGTTTGAGAAGGTCCGTCGCTCCAACAAGAAGACAGAGTCTGCCCTGCATGTCACGAAGTCTGGGCCAAAAAGGTACTGGTCTATCGGCCATCTGTTCTTGGAGTCTTGTCTAGTGGCTTGGAGCCCCCTAGCCTTGTCTGAGGTCAAATCCTAGCTCTGTCATCAGGTTTACTGTAAGCAATTCCACACATCGTAGAGGAAGCAAAACCATCCACGGTCTTTCAAAACAAGCCTGCCAGTTCAAAGTTGACCCAAAGAATGCCGCTCGTTTCGGTCCACATGTTCATGCCAACTTTCAAATCCATCCTATCCATTCTCTCACCGTCACCAAACAAAACCGCATCGTACCCCGGAAGGACCTTCTGCGGAGATATCCATCTATATAGTCCTAGCCATGTTCGGTGCTGCACAGTCTGAGAATTCTCAACCAATCGACTTGACAATCAAATGTCTTGAGGTGTGGTTGATGAGAGGCTTGCTTATGTTCTTCCATAAAGCAGAACCATGCTCCTGTTCTTGACAAGATATTCTCAGAGTACCTTGAACATGCGTAAACCAAGTAAACCACTGCAAGGGATTCCGAGAAATCCAACATGGAAGGTGCCACTTGGGGCATCGCCAAATCATCCACCCCTTCTCATCATCTCACCATCTCGCGCTCCCATGCACAACCGGCTGCCCCGATGCTTGTTTTCCCCGGGCGTCGCGCCGCGTCCCCGCCGCGGAGACGGCGGTGGAAGTCAGGAGACCTCAGTGATTGGAAGACGAGGCGGGCAAAGCGTGAAGACGACCACCGGGACCGGGTTGTAGGCGGTCGGCGTGGGGCGGTATCTTCAAAAGAAACACTCCTCTATGAGACAAGCATGCCAAACTAGTCTTCCTACACTTCAAAGAACATATGGCAGTTGTTGTATCTTCCATACTGCTGTTGGTGACGGCCTTCTGGAGAAGTCTTTGTTCAACAGTGAAAGGCTCTTTGGAATTGGGAATTCGTATGAATTCGTGAACTGGTCAATTCTCCCTGTTGAACAGTGATGGAATTCCCCTAGTTTTGAGACATATCCAGAGCCGGTGCGGGTCACAAAAACCTGTTGCAAATTGTTCCGCATAATTTTTCATTCAGCCTGTTGCCCATGGGATTTGCCACCTAGCCTAGCCACGCACTTCCCCCATCCCACAAAGACTGGAGAACCGCACAGAGGTCTCGTAGATGATTCCCGGAGCCAGCATGTCGAAGGGTGAATGCTCCAGTCGGGCAGCCGCAGCCTTCGCGAACGCTGGGGATGCTTCGGCGGTCAACATGTCTTTTTGAGGGTTGAGTTTAGTCCACAAAAGCGTGTTTACAAGCTGTGACAAGACTTCGCCATGTGGCTGACCCCCTGCTAAAACCTAGACCCAAAACAATGCGAGCTTGCACAGGCCAATATTTATATAAAGTTGTTTTTCACGGGCTGGTTTCAGCAATATTGAATGGCAGTGAATGGTGGGACTGACAAACCTCCACCAATCCCACTAGCAAGATGTTTCATTGGTGCCAAAAAAATATCAGAATAGATTCTAAGAATACCTCGTTAGGAAGAGATGCAGTCTTACGAAA